ACTTTTCCATGGCGTAGACAATGGCTAGTAACTCTTTCTCGGTCACCGTATAAATGACTTGGGCATCATTCATCGTTTTGCTTGCATAATAGACCAGATGAAATATCTTATAGATCCTTTGCTCCAAAATTGCTCCTACCGCAACGTCATTAGCATCGCACATGAGCTCAAATGGTAAGCTCCAATTGGGAGCGGTAATGATGGGAGTGGTAGTCAATCTATACTTGAGAAGCTCAAAAGCATTCATGCAATCATCATTAAATACAAACTTTGCATCCTTTTCTCACAACTTTCACAAGGGATTCACCAATTTTGAGAAGTCCTTGATGAACCTTCGGTAGAACCCCGCATGCCCAAGAAAGCTCCTAACTCCCTTGACGGAAGGAGGAGGAGGGAGATTTGAAATCACTTGAATCTTCGCTTTGTCCACTTCAATACCGTTCATTGAGATCTTATGGCCGAGGACAATGCCCTCCTCAACCATAAAGTGACATTTCTCCCAATTAAGTACTAAGTTGGTCTCTTCACATCGGGCCAACACCTTGTCAAGATTATTCAAGCTTTCTTCAAGGGAGTAACCCATAACACTAAAATCATCCATGAACACTTCCAAGAAATCCTCCACCATGTCCGTAAATATAGTCATCATACACCGTTGAAAGGTAGCTGGTGCATTACACAAACCAAATGGCATCCGTGAGAATGCAAAGGTACCATACGGAAATGTGAAGGTGGGTTTCTCTTGGTCTCCCGTGCAATCAAAATCTGGTTGTAACCTGAGTACCCATCCAAAAAGCAATAGTAGGCACGCTCTGCAAGTCTATCTAACATTTGGTCAAGAAAGGGCAGTGGAAAATGATCTTTGCATGTCACTTTGTTTAGCTTTCGGTAATCCATGCATACCCTCTACCCGGTGACAGTCCTAGTGGGGATCAACTCATTTTGCTTATTTGGAACCACAGTCATACCCCCTTCTTCGGCACACATTGTACCGGTGAAGTCCATGAACTATCCGAAATGGGGTACACAACCCCTGCATCTAACCACTTGATAATTTCCTTCTTGACGACCTCTTGCATAACCTCATTCAACCTCCTTTGATGTTCTACGGAGGGGTTGGCATCATCCTCAAGTAAAATTTTGTATATGCAAAAGGCGGGGCTTATCCCTCGAATATCAGCTAGAGTCCATCTAATTGCCTTCTTCCTTCTTTGGAGCACCGTAAGGGTGGCATCTACCTGCACGTTTTTAAGCATGAAGAAAGAATAACAAGTAAAGTTGAACAAGGGCCCAAGAATTCATACCTGAGGTGAGAAGGCAAAGGCTTTAACTCCAATACGGGAGGTTCCTCGATTGAGGGCTTTGTTAGTGGAGTCTTTCGGTTCTCAATATCCAAGGAAAGTTTCCTGGGCTCATATGTGTATGAACTCATTCCTTGCAAAGCATTGACATATACCACCAAGCCTTTATCCTCAGTCACATCATGGTTCAACAACACATCTTCTAAAGGGTCCTCCATATTTATCATAGCACTTGTGTCTTCAACGTTTACCTCGGTCACAAGATCCACAAATGAACATACTTCATTGCTATTGGGCTACCTTATTGATTTGCAGACATGGAACACAACTTTTTCATCACCCACCCAGAAGGTAAGCTCCCCTGCTTCCACATCAACTAAAGTCTTCCCTATAGTTAGAAAAGGTCTCCCTAATACGGCACCTCATAGTCAACCTCGCTGTCAAAAATCACAAAATCTGCGGGAAGTATGAACTTGTCGACCCGCACTAGCACATCATCTATAATTCCCAATGGCCTCTTCATTGTCCTATCCACCATATGCAACCTCATGGATGTGGGTCTTAGTTGCCCAATCCCCAATGTCTTAAACACGGAATATGGCATCAAGTTAATGCTTTCCCCTAAGTCACACAAAGCTTTGGCAAAATAGGCATTACCAATAGTGCACGGATTGTAAAAGCATCAGGGTCTTCTAGCTTTAGGGCCACAGAATGTACAATGGCACTCACTTGGTGCGTCATCTTGATCGTTTCATAATTCATGGATTTCTTCTTTGTTACCAAGTCTTTCATAAACTTGGCATATCCTGGCATTTGTTCTAGAGCTTCCACCAAAGGCACATTGATGGACAAACTTTTCATCATATCAATAAATTTCTTGAACTAGTTCTCATTGTTTTGTTTAGCAAGCCTTTGAGGGTATGGTGGAGGAGGCCTTGGCAAAAGAGCCTTGGCTTTGGGCACTACCGTTTCCGATATGTCTATCACGTGTTCCCTAGATGGGTTCACATCATTTTGTGTCTCCTCCACGTTGTCATCAATTTCAATTCTTACCTCTTCATTTACATTCTCATCACTCACTTGCACATCATTGTTTTGCTCATCATCCTCTTGCACCAACACACCATCACTCACAACCTTTCTTTCATTAGAGATACTAGAAACTCCACCTCTACAACTCCTTGTAGTCACCGCCATAGCATGGCCTGTATTGTTCCCTCCCTTCGGGTTTACTACCGTGTCACTAGGTAGTGCCCCTTAGGGCGAGTATTAAACACTTGGGAAATTTGGACAAGTTGAACCTCTAAGTTGCGGATAGAAGTATTGTGGGACGCCAGTTGGGCATCGAAGTCGGCGTTTTTCTTCATTATTTGCTCAAAAATTGACTCAATCTATCCCATCTCATTGTTGGACGAGCTAGCACCTTGAGACAGAAATGGAGGCGGGTTGTTAGGTTGTTGAAACATCGGAGGCCTTTGAAAGCCCGGCCCCCGATTACCCTAATTACCGTTATTCCAACCCCCTTGGTTGTTGTTGCCTCCCCAATTGCTATTGTTATTGTCTCCCCAGTTGCCATGGTTACCTTGGTTGCCCCAATTTTGATTGTTGTGTCCCCCAGTTGCTTTGGTTGTTGTTGTTTCCACTATTCTAATTTCCTTGTTGATTTTGATTTCCCCAATTTCCTTGGGATCTCCATTGTTGTTGTTGATTCGGAGCATTGCCCCGTTGTCCTTGGTAGTTGTTCACATACTAAAGCTCTTTACTTTGCTCATCATACACATCATCTTGGTTGTAACCACTACCACCTTGCTCATATTGATCCGGATTTCATTGACTTTGTTGACCTTTTTGCCTCCTCTTATTGACCATCACATTTACCCCTTCCATGGCATTCACTTGCTTTGACCCCTGAACTTATTGCAATTGATCTTTGGCCAACTGGTTCATAGTTGTAGTTAACTCGGCTATTGCTTCGCCGTGGTCATGGAGCTCTTTGTGCAGATGAATGACATTGGGATCACCTTGTGGCACATTAGCTCAACTTTGTCATGCGGAGGAAGTGTTCTTCATCTCATCAAGTATATCACACGCCTCAGCTAAGGAGTGTTCATAAAGTTTCCCCCGGTGAGTTGGTTAACTACACATACTTGGTAGTGTTGATGTCACGGTAGAATGTTTGCTGGATCATTGCTTCGGTCATGTCATTGTTCGGACATTCTTTCACCATCGTCCGATACCTTTCCCAGATCTCGTGAAGTGGTTAATTTGGCTCTTGTTTGAAGGCAAGGATCTCATCTCTCAGCGTCGCCATATGCCCCAGCGAAAAGAACTTTGCAATGAATTTCTCGGCCAACTCATCCCAACTAGTGATGGAATGGTTGGGCAACCTTTCAAGCCAATCCAAAGCCTTCCCCCATAGAGAGAATGGAAAAGCCTTAATCTCAACACGTCCTCAGAAATGTTAGTTTGCTTGCTCCCCCAGCATGTTTCAATAAAACCCTTGAGATGCTTGTAGGCATTTTGATGTGGAGATCTGGTGAAGAAACCCCGATGTTCCAAGAGTGTAAGCATCACATGGGTTATTTGGAAGTTGCCCGCCCCAATCCGGGGCGGGGCTATTGCACTTGCGTATCCTTCGTTGGGCAACACCCGGTGTGCTGCCCTTGCTAGAGGTGGGGGAGGGTTTATTATCATGTGGCGGTCGGCCTCTCCTTTGTGCTTGAGGTTCGGGTTGAACCTCATCTACACTATCATCATCTAGCTTCTCCCTCAAAGGCAAATTTTCGGGAGCATCATTTTTAAGAGCCATATTGTAGCTTAGAACAATTCACAAACAAATTAGAAAATCGAAAGGAAAGAAAAATAAAACACACAAATACTCGGAGATATAGCTAAAATCATTTAACTCCCCGGCATCGATGCCAAAAATTGATCGGTTCCAAACCTGCACTATTATAGAGTTGCAAGGATTATCGATGCAGTTTTACCCATCAAAGGTTGGGATCGAATCCACAGGGAGTTAATGAGTTTGGAGTTAGGTTAATATCTGAGTAAAAATGCGAGTTTTGCTCTTAATTGTATTTTCACAAATGGTTGATTTTGCTTTCTACTTCTACTTCTATTCTATAATGTGCAATAGATAAAGCTAAGTACAATATTTTTGTTGGTTGTTTTCAAAGATTAAAATGGACCAGGATACTGACTTCCGCCTAGGCGAATATCTAACGGGTATCGAGAATTCAGGGCAAGCTTGTTATGATTGGGATCGTGTTATAACCATCACACATAAGTGCTCACTCTATACCTCTCAGTAGTTTGAGTGACTTTCCCCAATTTAGCTTTCTCAAGTCCAAATGGGTGTTCATGCATAACAAATAATATTGGCTCAAGTCGGGTATTATTATCTCTAGGTTTAACCCTTTAATTGGGGCTATCAATCTCTTGAATTTACCCCAATTCCTTGTTAGCCTAATTTTCCTAGACTTAGTCCCTCTTTCTCACGAAGAGTCTAAGTCATAAAGGCACGAATCAGTATTTGCAACCACTAATTCTACAATTAAAGCATTAATTAGGCTAAATATCAGTAGCCCATAAACAATTAAGCCCTAAAATTCAAAACCCATTAAATATCCACACTAAGGTTGGGTCACAACCCTAGCTATGGATTTAGCTACTCATGAAACTAGCAGAAATCAAGGATAAAGATGAAATATAAGCCATAATATTCAAATACAAGATGAAAATCTAAAGATTGAAGATGAATCTACTCTAGAATTACTCAAAAGGCAAAAACGAGTCGTTCACGTGTTCTCCTTGACAAAACTTAACCTAATAATGTGAAAATAATCTATTTATACTAGGCTGAAATTCCCAGACAAAAATGCCCCTACAGAGAATTAGCCGCGTAATAATGACCGCAGTCCGCGTTTCTTCAATTCTGGGCTTGGGTTGGACTTGGTTTCGTGGACAGCGTAATTTCATCCGCGTTCGCGTGTGCTTCCATCGCGGCCACGTAATTTGAACGCGAACCGCATTCTTCTATTTAAGCATGACTTGCAGGGTTTCTGAACTTCAATCACCGTTCTCAGCAAAAATACCACCACAGCTGCGTTAGATATTTCGCGACTGCGTTAGATATTCCGCGGCCACATCAGATATTCTATGGCTGCACTTTTCCATTGCAGTTAGCGGTAGAATTTGTGCCCAAATTAGCCTCTCTGAACTTTACTTTAGCGGGCCGTATATTTGTGGACGCCTCAGCGGTGTTCCTCAAGCGACCACGTATTTTGCTCGCTCTCCGCGCTCCAATTCCCAGTCTTTAGTCTGTGCAAGTTTACTCCTTCATGAGTTTATTTTGGCTTCTTTGCCTCATTTTGACCAAACCTTGTAAGTAAGCAGAGTAAATTAGTTTTTGGGAATACTTTTATACATTTTTGGTCCAAAACCTAAGCAAAAGAGAACACATAATAGGTTAAAATCCATAGTTACCACTACTCAATGCAATCATCTCTCATCAGCTCATTGCTGCTACCCAAGCACCTGTAGACATGGAACCAATGTTCAACATTCTTCTCTATCCCTTCACTAGATTTGTGATCCTCCTTGCATTCCTTACCCTTTGGTTCGTAAAACCACAAGCCATAGAGTAGGAAAATATTTACCAGAAAGAGAAAAGGAGTAAGCTTAATATATAGTTCATTATGCCTTGAGAACAAATTCAACAATTTTTGTAGCCCCTTATTCAGTTTATCAGGTTTACTATTTCTTACCTCCAATTTTATATATACTTCGGGCAGCGCCCCAACGCTCCAAGAACTTGTTGGCTAGCCTATCAGAGTATGTCAAGTTTGGATCCATAGTTGGGCCTACCGCAATGATACCCAATCAGAAGATTCATAGCTAAAGTTTTCTATAATCTAAAAGAAATCACTAGACAATTTAATTTTGGATGATATTAGTTTGACTCCTAGATGCTCTAATCAGTCAATACTAAAAACATCTTAGGATTTTATTGATACATCAAACAACAAGCAATGGTTATGAAAAGTACACGAACAAAAGACATATGCAAAGATAAATGCAATGTAGAATCTTCTACACATAATATACAATACTTTAAAGCATGAATTGACGTACTCGACTGGATACATTCTAGTTTATAGAACTCTTGTACACAAAATACTTGACTTCACCCTCCTACAAAATAACATCAATCAAACACAAACTACTGCTCAATAGAGACAGGTAAATGCCAAGTTAACATTAGCATGGAAATCAAGATAAAATGCCATAATTTGCACCCAAAAAAAGAGATTATTGCTATTCAATACAGAAAAGTGAAGTATCATGCGAGAGGTTGATGAAGCACTTTTTCAAGAAACTCAACACAAGAAAACTGAGCATAATTGAAGAAAAGGGTATACCCTTAATTGATCTCTCACTGGTTCTAACCTCTGACCCCTCCAACTCCTTACATTATAAAATCTTGTAGCAGAGTTATGCTAACCGGGTATGTTTTCAAGTGATAAACCATGAAGTTCCATCAGTATGCCGTGAAAAGATAGATGGAGAAATTTTTCTTACAACCCATAGTGGAGAAGTGACTACAGATTAAACCTGTGATATATGTTTCTATAATACAGAAACCCATAATAAGAATGTTAGGGGTGGGAAAGAATTTTTGATTTTCTACAGTCTAGCAACTATAGATATGAAACTCAATATTTAAAACTCAGAATAACATTCATAATCCACAAAAACACTACAAGTCATTTTATTTAGCTATTGTCATCCCTGAAAAGAATCCACCTAACTTAGTATAAGAGAGATTAACTGATAGAAAATGGGCTATATTCATTCTAGTTCTATTCTTTTAGGATTCCAAGAAAGAGATGGGAGAAGAAGAGATAGAGTTTCTTGAATTACATCATAAAATGCTGGAGGAGCAAAGTGAATTGATCAGATTCAAAAAAGGAGCAGAGTCATTGATAAGATTGACCTGCAACTAGCAAAGGATTTTATATATAACTACTGCATCCTAAGAAGTTTAATATATTTAATTAGAAATAGAAGATAATAACCAATCACGAAAACATAAATCACAACTGCTACAAGGAACTCGGTAATAGAAAAGCGAGTGAGTTATTTTTTCTTAAGCATATGACAGTTAAAATTCAATCTATCTAATTCCAACAAGATAGAGTTAGAATATTCTCTCTAGAAATATATAGATCAGACGAAATTGTGTAACAACCAGAATTATTCAACATAAATAGTAATTTATATATACTATATTGATCTCAACAACTAGAATATTGCAACTCTAGAACGTAAACAACAAATGAAAATGGCAGAACTACATAAATATGATAGGTAACCAGAAAGGGGATAGGGAATTAGATTGATTCAGAAAAGGACTTGAGAAGCACAAACTTTGGCTAAGCATGATCACAATACACATAATTTTAAAAACTGCTAATGACACCCCCTTTATCCTTTTGTCACATGCTTCCTAACTCAACCTGGATTCCAAGCAAATGTCTTCTTGGGCTGTCTAATTCCTTGGCATTTTGCTGTTTAGCACCATGCCCAATAGCTTGGCCAACCTTTGTCCAAACAACCGGCCCATAAACATATCGGAGTTATCCTTGTTAACAACAAAGTGGTAGAGGTACAAAGTTATAATACATGTGCAGATTAAAGTTGGAAAAATAGTTATAAGTTTAATATCCAACTATTTTATATTTTGAACAAACTCTAACAAAAAAAGGAACTAAAGAGAGTAGATAATTGCATTGGGTCAGCCACTCTATGAAAGAAATTCAAACATTAATCTCACTCTTTAGATTAAGAACCACTCAATTTTGAGGTATATTTTTGTAAATGGCACATTTAAGTAAGACATACTAATGAATATCCCTTGTTCCAGCTCAAGAGACTTCAATATATGTAGCATTTGAAGACTACTCAGCATTTTCAATTATGTCGAAGAATATAGAGCATTTCCCCTGTTAATAATTCAGTTTTGTTAATCGACAAAGTGAGCAAAGTGTATACTAGAATTTTGTTAACTTAACCATAAAATATGCAACTTTCAACAAGTATATTGCGTATAATTACAATAATAGCTTAATAATCTGTTCACAAAAGGATAGTACCTCCATGTTTCGATCTTGAGCATTTCAACCAATAGCAATGTAACATCCATCTGAAATAATCATCTCACAACAAATATCTCGACTCTGCCACTGTAATCATTAGAAGTTAAAATTGACAAACCCTAGTTGCTTTAAAAAGATCAAATATGTTATGCGCATTCGCTTAGAAAGTAATGAAAATTTGCATAGATGTTCAACTTAGCAATCACATAGCACTAATTGAAGCAAATCAAACAGAGAATGTTTGAGATAACCAAATCGCATTTGACGAACAGAGCAAACAAAATCACGAAGAACAGAAAACATAATATAAACAATTGTGCATGTGATTCTACAATTCTAAGAGGCAGGGAAAGTACAACGCGTGGCGAACGAAGAGTGTGATTCTTATTCTGCAAGTTGACGGGCGGCGGCGATGGAATGGAGGAACATACGACGATGGTGGGAGCGGAGGCATTTTGGTGAGCAGGACAAAGGGAGGGAATTTTTGAACAGTAAAAAGGAATTGGAGAGAAGTGCACAATTATTAAAGTGGTCTCTCGATTATTAATTTTTGCAAGCCATATGTCTTATTTGCCATTAAAAGAGTAGTTAATACTAGCTAAAGTTTAAGCGTCGGTAATAGCTAAGTTCATAAAATAATTTAACGGCATTTATGCTATGGCCATTAAATAATTGCCACTAAAAGTGAGTTTTGTTGTAGTGTGAAGGGTGCAAAAGTCATTGTCCACACGGATCACGTGGCGATTCGTTATCTTATGAGCAAGAAGGACCCCAAACCTCGGTTGATGAGATGGGTGATTTTGTTGCAAGAGTTTTATTTGACATCCAAGATAGAAAAGGTAGTGAAAATCAAGTGGCGTACCACTTGTCTCGTTTGGAGGAGGAGGGGAAGCCGCATGATGGCCTTGAAATTAATGACTCTTTCCCCGATGAGTAAGCCTTCGCTATTTCAATGAAAGAGGTGCCATGATTCGCGGGTCTAGCAAATTTTCTTGTGTGTGGAATCATTCTGGATGAGTTCTCTTCAAATCAAAAGAAGAAGCTCAAACAGGATTGTCATGATTATTATTGGAAAGAACCATACCTCTTCCATATTTGTACGAAATGGGTGATTAGAAGATGTGTACCGGAAGAAGAGCAAGGTGAAATTTTTAGGGCTTGTCATTCATTGTCATATGATGGCCATCATGGTGGAGCGAGAACGGTAACCAAAGTGCTTAGTTTTGGTTTCTATTGGCCCACTCTTTACAAGGATTCAAGTGAGTTAGTGAAAAGATGTAATGAATGTCAACGGGCCGGTGGAATCTCAAAGAAAAATGAAATGTCTCTCACTACCATTTTGGAGATTGATATTTTTGATGTGTTAGGTATTGACTTTATGGGCCCTTTTATGAGTTCTGTGGAAACACATACATCTTGGTCGATGTGGATTATGTGTCCAAGTGGGTTGAGGTCGTTGCTCTACCTAACATTGAGGCGAGAAATATGGTGGCGTTCTTGAAGAAAAATATTTTCAAAAGGTTTGGTATTCCGCAGGCTATTATAAGCGATGGGGGTTCACATTTTTGCAATAAAACTTTCAACACTTTACTTGGAAAGTATGGTGTTACTCATAAATTCATGACTCCCTATCATCCACAAGCTAGTAGACAAGTGGAAGTCTCCAACCGGGAGATCAAGAGTATTTGTCTAAAACGATGAGTGTGAATCAGACGGATTGGTCCAAAAAGCTTGATGATGCATTATGGGCTTATCGGACGGCTTACAAAACACCTATCAAAATGTCACCATATCAGTTGGTGTTTGGGAAAGCTTGTTACCTTCCGAAGGAACTTGAGCACAAGGTCATGTGGGCTCTAAAGAAGTTGAATCTTTATTGAGATGGAGCCACTAACTTGAGGGTTGTACATTTGAATGAATTGGATGAGTTCTGGTACCATGCTTATGTAAGTTCGTCCTTGTACAAAGAAAAGATAAAATATCTTCACGACAAATACATTTAGAATAATGAGTTAAGGTGGGCGATCTTGTACTGTTGTTTAACTCAAGGTTGAGGATGTTTTCCGGGAAGCTAAAGTCTAAATGGAGTGGTCCTTTTGAAATCGTGGGTATGACACCTTTTGGTGTATTAGACTTGAAGAATAAAAATAATGAAGTATTCCGAGTTACTGGTCATCGGGTGAATCACTATTTGGGAAAGCTTGGAGATAGCCACGTCATGGCAGTTATTCATTTCACTTGAGGGTATTCTGCTTCATGCCACGATAAATCAAGCGCTTCTTGGGATTCGACTCGTGTTTCTTTTCCTTTTTCTTTTGTATTTAGGTGTTGTTTTTATTCTAACTTGATTTGAAGTGCGCTACAGGTTGAGTGTGACTTACAGGAATTGTGGACCAAAAATTTTTCTAAGTGTACGAAGAATTGCGGACCTTAATTGATTTGTGCGGATCACAAAATTATGGGTGTTGTAGCAAAAGAGCAGTGCAACCGCACAATTGAGAGGTTGAAAATACCAACTCTCTGAAGTTTTATCCTGTCGGACAAGAGGTCGATGTGCGACCACACAGGAAATCTACTACCGCATAGGAATTTAGCGATCGCACATGAAATTGTGCGGACCACAGATGAAATGCTGAGAGGAGGTCTTCAGGTAAGAAAGTGAGGACCACATATGAAAATGTGCGGCCGCACTCGCCCTTTTTCCCTTATCAAATTCCTCATATAAATAGAGGAACATGGCAATTGTTACGTTTTTTCACTCTCTGAACAACAAAAGTGTGCTCGATTGAATTTTCCTGGAAATTTCGATCTGTCCACACACATAGCCAACTTGATCATTCACTCATTACACTCATTCATCTGGTATACATGTTTTATGGGGATTATGTTAGCATATTTTCATGTTTCTATGATATTGCCATGTCAAATTGTGCACAAAATTGATAAACCTAGAATTATATAATTGATTTGTGTTGATACCCAATTTTTTCTTATAATTTTTAATACATACATATATATATATATATATATATATTTTCAAAATAGCATTTATGCAGTTATAAGCATGCATGAGCATTTTTATAATTTTTTATGCAATTTTTATAATTTTTAAAAGCTCCAAATTGATTTATTTCTTCCCTTTTAATTTATAAAATTTCCAATAATTATCCTTCAAATTATTTTTCTAGTAATTTAGCCATCTAAATTATATACTTATGCCAAAATATAGTTTAAATATTTTTAGTGCATTTTTATAATTACATTTATATTTTTAAGCTAATTTGCATATATTTGCGATACTAGCTCTATTAATGCATAATTACATTGTTGAAGCATAAAATGATATTTTATATTGTTAAATAATAACTATTTTAAATCATTTTAGTACACAAAATTATTTTTCAGAAATCATTTATGATTTCTTATAAATTATATAGTATAAAAATGGCTATTTAAAATATGGCCTAATTTTATTTCAATTTTAGCCCCAATCCAACCCCAACCTAACCCAATTACCAGCCCAATTTTTAAACCTAAACCTACCCAGGCCCAATACCAGGCCAAATCCTGGCCATTGATCATTTTGATCAACGGTCTAGGTTTTCCCTTCCCATAACTAAACCAACCTATACCTCAAAACCCTAACCATTTTCACCACCTTACACTGTCGCTCTGAAATCCTCTCTGCTCTCAAACGCTCTCAACCTAACCCTAATCTACAAATGTCGTCACTCATCTATGGCCATCTCCGATGACCTCTCACTACCTCTCAAGCCTCTAATAGCCTCTCTCATGTTGTTTTTGCCATCTCCAAGGCCCTCAAGGGACCAAGGCTAGTGGCTTGCATCTATTGGTCCTCTCTCGCCTGTTTCAGGCCACTTCAGTGAGATTGCGAGTAAGATTGTCCTATATTAGTTACGATCTTGGGTTTCTCAATATGTTTCCTCATCTCTGTATGATTCTCTTCGAAACCCTAATTTCTTTTCTAAACCTCTTACATCTGTACAGATCTAAGATGATTTGGGTTTGTTTCATATGAGTTTTACAATAACCTTAAGATTCTAAAAAAATCGTATGATTTTCAAGTGATTTTCATCTTTTCCTTAAGCTAGGGTTTCCGGATTTTCTTTTAAGAATTGTTTGATGATTTTTTGTGTTTAATCTTCTGCTTCTTGTATATTTTGACTGATTTTGTAAGTCTGCTACAACCTTAGCCATTTTGTACTGAAAGCCCTAATTTTCTAGGGTTCTTCGTTTAGTTTCTGAGTACCGGTGCATCTGACTGTGTTCTTGCTTTGGGTTCTTTTGATTTCTAGTGACCTTCTTGCCCTAATATGCTTCTACTGAACTTCTTAGTTTAACCTTTCACTGATTCGATATGCTTGTGTTCGTCTTGACTGTTCATATCAAGACTTGTATCTTTCTCATTGAATCAGCATTGTTTAATTTTTGTTTTGTTAAAGTTATATGTCGATTCTTGAGTATTCATGTTTTACCTTATTGATATGCTAAACATTCTGGCCCTTTCATGACTTTCTGAACCCTTGATTACTCTAAATCCCTTATTTCCTAGTTTAATTTGAACATTTTCCTTTAAATGTTTGATTCTTACCTTTTACTCAATTTGATTGAATTTGTTTGCCTTACCTTGTTTGTATTCCGCTGATTATTAGTGATTTGTTTCCTTAATTAAATTGTTGTTCATTTACCCCTAATTACCTACTCTATACTAAGCCTTATTTTATTCTTTTCCTTAAATACTTAGCATGATTTTACCGTTGATCTAATTGTTGTTTGATTAAGGGAAGATCTTGCTGATTTACATGTGACTTCCTTGATTTACTACGTAATTGATCTCTTACCTTATGTGTCAAACTCTTGACTACTATATAAACCTCCGCTTCTTTTAAGTTTTGGGAACAAACATTAGTTCAAAAATCACTCCTTCTTACACTCTAAAGTTGTCTTTCTCTGTTGCTACTTGTGTTACTCACTGATCTAGCCGGCTGAAAGCCAAGGCTAGATATTGGAATTGTATTTGCTTTATATTCTGCATCCTTTCTTCAACTAGTATGTTTCTAATTAAGTTTAAGATTCAAACCCTATGTGTTTTCATTCCTGCACTAGTTCATCAGTTATGAGTTCAATTTCCTCCCTACTTCTTTACTCAGCATGTCTAAAATTTGCCTGTTTTATGTATTCTTTACCTTATGCACTCTTTCTTGCTTACTTCTTTGCCTAGCATGTCTAAAATTTTGTCTTGTCTAATGCATGTTCTACACTCTGCACTCTTTCCTGCCTACTTTTTTATTAGCATATGTTTAATCATGTTCAAGACAGGCCAACTATTATTTCTGTCCTAAATATTTGCCGAGTCTCTAAGATCCTAAGTGTTGCATGCAGTTTGTGACTATATGTTTCCTCTATCCCTATCCATGTACCCTAAGGTGATTCTTATGTGTCACAACCCTTTTATCCCCATGTGAATATCTGTTTGTTAAGTGTTCTGAAAGTCTCTTATGACCAATTGATTGTTTGTTGCTTGGTACTCAT